AAAAAAAGTATTCACAATTAGCCGCTTGCATATTTCCTAATCCGGTCCCGTAAGAGACAAGCCTGGGGCTAAGCGTATATAAGGTGCGCTACCAATGATACCTCTGCCGAAGCATCAACATGCAATGTAACGCAACCGTGACGGTCCACAGAGTATAATGATGACAGGCTTTCATGAACATGAACCAACACGAACTGCCATGCTGTGACGACTACCTCCCCCCCCTCTCCTCTATTCCTTCACCATGCGCCCACATCTTAGACTACTAGCTTCTACCTATCAAGTTTCACCTCTCCAGGCCGACAATTAATTGAACAGTTAATTTATCTTAGTAATAGGCAATGGCCGTTTTCTGTTGTATAAGAGGTCGCGAAATTATAGAACGTCAATAAATTCGGCTAATCTCGTGATTTTCGCCCTGTTCATTAATGATGACGCACGTTTAGTCTACCAAGTCAAAGTAATTTTGCACAGAATGATGCTTGGGGACAGAGCGGATAACAGTTTTCCGACAGACGCAGAGGTACAGACCGAAAGATTGAGATGGAAAGTAATTACCGCAATGAAAACAGGCAAATTATGTCAGTTGCATATTGTGACGGACTTATGAATGTGATCTGCTGTTAGATCATTGAAAGTGGTTTTTGTGCCTCCACACTTTGAAAGATAGCTGTACCGTTAAGTGTGCAATGGAAGAAGATTAATAGCCCATTCATATTTTTGCGACGTCAATTTATACTACTGTCTACCCAAAAGCTTGTTCTGGGGACTGGGTGGTATTTTTTTCTCCTGGCAGAAGATGAAATAACATTCGCAAAAAGGCAAAGCATGTGCTTTAAGTGAGGTGGTTCGTTTTACAAGCAAAGTGCAGACTTCTAAGACAGCAAAGAGAACAAGGCCATTCGTTCATAAGGGTAGAATAAAGTGTTGACTGAAACCATAGAAAAAACGTTTGCTAGTATTCAGAATGGCAAACGAGACCATGAGACAAGTTGCGTTCTCAGTTCTACAAGCTGGAACACACACGGGCTTGTCTATTAACCCTGACTGAGAAGCCGAAGGCGCATTCACAAGTGGCCGGTAGTTTGAAGGCCTTCAATGAGGGCTACCGAAGAAATAGAA